AGAGGAGTATAGGACTGAGAAGACTAGAACTTTTGATCTGTAGTTTAGAAAAATTGTAGTGGAAATTCTTTCCAGACCCGGGGGGGGGCAACTGAGGCTAACTCCCTTGCTGTGACGGTATGATGGCAATGGTGTTCTCCTTAGATCACCTGAGCCCATAATTGGTATGGGGAGGGCTATATGAATGTCCTGATAAGTCAGGGTGTATGTTGTGATATGTATGGTGATGAAAAATTGGCACTGATTAGATTATCACTGGATAAAGCAGAGGTTCCCAACTTGCGGGAAGGGGGTCGTGGGGTGGATGTGAGACAATATTCCAGGGGATGCAAAAACTTCGGTTTAGAAGTTTCAAAATTATAGTGTATATGTATAATTATATGCATATAAATTATTTTTTTAAAGGGTGCAAGAATATATCAGAAGCGTTCTAGTGGTGTGGGGTATAGAAAAGGTTGGGAACCCCTGGGATAAAGGATTCTGACAAACTAGCTGGTCAGGGAGTGGCAGTTTAATATTTGAGAGTTGAATAAGATATTTGGACCTGGGGAGAGATTACAGGGTTTTGACAAGTTGGTTTGATGCAGGGAAGGGGCATCTTCCGGCTTCTGGGCTCAGTTCTGGTGTTTTAAGATTATCGGTGACCCTGGGTTTAGGCTGCTGCTGATTAGCGCCAGGTTAGCTTGTAATAGGTTCTTATCATGGATGAAAGAGCTAGCTTCCTGCGCATTACTGAGACCTGGATGAGCCCTGAGGGAGGGGCCTTTTCTCAGCAACGTGCCCACCTGTGGGAGAATCTGGCACTGAGTTACAGGAAGGAGAAATAAAGAGAAATAGCAGCTTTGAATTGTTGCTATGCAAGAAGCGGCACAGAAAGGATCCCCTCTTGTGCCTTTTGTGTTGTTGTCACCATGGAATAACATCCCCCCCCCCAATCCAGATGACTTGATCTTGCTTGCTTTCCGAAAAGCTCTAAAGATCAGGCTGTCCCCCAGGTACTGAGTCAGGAGACTTTGTAAATCCACCTTGAATCTACCACTGCGCCTCTGGTGCAGTGTCTTTTATTATATTTTCGTTTTTGTTCCTTTAAATTGTCTATACAACTCTGACTCACATGTCAAGCAGGCAGCTATCTAAACAAAATGCACAAATAAGTAAACCAAACAACTGCTGATATACTGTATGCAGATGACAACACTGTGATAGAAAACACCAGAACAGCCTTAACTCAGTATTGTAGAAGAGCTTCCATGTTTTACCAGGGCAACTGTGAAGAGGATGGGCAGGGCTGAAGTCTAGAGTTTATACAAACTAACAAACAAATAGAACAAGCAAACCTTATATCTACATCTGCTATTAGCACGGCAGCTTTCATTATTTGAAAAAGAAAGGAGCATGTACAAAGAAAAGAGAAAAAAAAACACTAAGCAATGTAATCTACTAAGTATTAATACTATATATTAAGTAATTCAGTTATTTACTGGTACCTTTTTTCAATAAAATATGTATTCTCATATTTCATACTTCACAAATTCCTTGTGTGTCCAATCAGATGGCCAATAAAGAATATTCTACCATGTTTCCCCAAAAATAAGACCCTGTCTTATATTTTTTTGAACCCTGAAATAAGCGCTTGGCCTTATTGCCATGCACTCAAAAGCCCAATTGGGCTTAATATCAGGGGATGACTTATTTTGGGGGAAACAGGGTAGTCTATATCCTTTGTCCTTATCCACAAATGATAGCATTAATAAAGCACAGCTGTGGATCATTTTATCCTTACCTTTCATTTTAGAGCAAACCAAGATATAAATCAGTTCATTGGTCAGCAAAGAAAACCTGTTTATTTTAACTAATTTTAAGTTTATAGGACCAGATGAGCTCTACTCTAGAGTAGATAACAATACCAATACAATAATGAAGAAAAAGAAGAAGATGATGATGGATTGACTGATTGTTTACCCATTGTGCCTGACTAATCTTGGAGACTTGAATGAAGCATCAGACAATTAGAGGAGGACATATATAGTATCTATTTTCAAAAAAGGGAAGTAAATAGTTCAGGGAATTACAACCAATCAATCTAACTGTGATTGCTGGGAAAATTCTACAGAAGGCCATAAAGAGATTAATTTGTAAGAATGAAGTATGTGATAATTACTTGAAGTCATAATGGATTTGTTAAAAATATTTTTTTCCAGGCTATTTTATCTCATTTTTGGATTGGTAATATTCTTTGCCAATTACTGGCATGCTGTAGGCCGGATATATTTTGATTTTAGCAAAATGTTTGATAAAATGCCCCAAGTTATGCTGATTAGCTGGCTAGCATGAACATTAACATAGCTGACTCAAAACTCATTCTCAAGTACTCATCCATGATTACTCATCAAACTGGAATGAGGTATTGTGTGGGGTGCCACAAAGTTCAGCCCTAAATCCCATACAAACCTACAGCTTCTTACAGAATGAAGCTGTGATGTGTTTAGCCAGTAAATTGAGCTCTAGAGACTGTAAGGATTAAATATTCTAGTGTATTACTCAGAAGAAAGGAGAGGTCAAAATGAAATTTTAAAAAATGCTCTTGGGATTGTTCATCCTTATAAGATCATGGCTGGAACAGAAAAAGAATAAAATGTACACCTTATTTAAAGTCACAACTGAAAATATCATTGAATGCTCATAAAGATACTATGTATCTATCAGAGTTGTTTTAACGAAAGAATATTTTATCACAAATTCTTAGGAGGTTTGTTCTAAGAATCCAAAGTAATAGGCACTGGTTCACAGAGACATTATTTAATCTAAAAGAAAATGTGGCATAAAATAGGATGTTTGATTTTTCACCTTCATATTAGTAAAATATTTGTATTATTTTAGTTTGGATTCTCATGCAAAATGACCAGAGGATATGTAGTTATCACTCAGATAAGTGATGGGTTTCTCCCGGTTCGGCCCGGTTCCACTGAGTCGGTAGCGGTGACGATATGACATCACCGAACCGGTTCCGCCCCCTCTGCCCCCCGCTCCCCCTGCATTATTCTTATCTTTTATTTGGCCCCACTCCCAATCTATTGCTGCCTCCTGAGTCCCAGCTGATTGGCTAGAAGGAAAAAAAACTGTTTAAACTCTTGCCGCGGGGCTTCAAAGGGCCGCCCTATAGCTGATCAGTGTTAAAAGGCAGTGTGGTGGTAGACCGATGCCTCCAAAAACAAATAAGTAGACTGGTGCCTGAAAAAATAAATCAGTAGACCAGTGCGTCCAAAAACAAATGGATAGACCAGGACGCTCCAAGAACAAATGGGTAGACCGGTACAGTTCTGCAAGCAGTTAAAAGCCTGGTAGACCAGTACCTCTGCTAAATCCTAAAGAATTGTCACATGACATCAAGCCACGCACACAAAATAAGCCACACCCACAGAACTGGTAGTAAACATTTTTAGAACCCACCCCTGACTCAGATACTCATAAGTTGCAATGCAGTACCCTGCAAGATCTTGATCTTCAATAAGCAAGGAACTTTCAGGACCTTGGATAGCTGAGAACAAAGCTTAACTGTAATACAGGTAGTCCTCGACTTATGACCACAAGTGAGCCCAAAACATTTGTTCTAAGTGAGACATTTATTAAATGAGTTTTGCTCCATTTCTTCCCATAGTTGTTAAGTGAATCACTGCAGTTGTTAAATTAGTAACACAGTTATTAAGTGAATCTTGTTTTCCCATTGACTTTGCTTGGCAGAAGGTTGCCAGAAGGGGATCACATGACCCTGGGACACTGCAACGTTCATAAATGTGAGTCAGTTCCCAAGTATCTGAATTTTGATCATGTGACCATGCGGATGCTGCAACAGTCTTAAGTGTGAAAAACTGTCATAAGTCACTTTTTTCAGTGCTGTTGTAATTTCACTAAATGAACTGTTGTAAATCAATGACTGCCTGTACATCCTTTTTTCATAGTAGTAGTGTCTGCAGAGACTGGCTGAAGCTGTCATAGGAGTCCTTCTCCTTCTGAATGTTGACACTGATTCTTAAAAGAGCCATGTCTATTTCTTCAATGTTAGAGGACAAAATGTTGGGACAGATTTGGGAGATGGGCTGGGAGAGGAAACTCTCATAATTATGACTCTCGGTCCAGAGTTAAGAATCCTGTTAGGGATAATGTGCTGGGAGTGGTACTGAGTGCTCATTTCAAAGTTGAATGGATTTTGCATCTTTGGAGACTGAGTCTCAAGAGAAATGACAACAAGATCCCAAAGAAAGAAATGTTTTATTTTCATGGAACGACCTATAAAGTAAGTAGATGGGGGAGGGGGGATAACTACCCAGAGTAGCTGGATAGTGAGATGATTGGCGTATTAATTAAATATTTTTTAAAGTGAAATGTCTAGAAAGCTTTTAAGTAAACTTTTATTGTATATCCCAAAAGCATTAATATTTGTTAAACTATACAGATTATTTTTATGTATTACTGTAGTCCAATAGAAATGAAGATCACTGATTACAGTTTTTATAAACCTACTTTAGTGGTTTGTCAAGTCCAATCTGGTTAGCAGATTGGATATAGATTTAGTTACTTAGATTATATTACAAAAGAATGGGCAAAGTTAATTGAAATCATGGACTAAACAGAAAAAAAAATGCAGATATATCTTGAACTTGATGTCTTAGTTTGAGAATTGTGATCATTTGAGGTTTTATAAGAATGGTCCTAATTTGTTTAATTGTAAGAGGTGGCAGGTTTCACAATAGATCTACTTTGGATGTTGAATTTACTAGACTAGGGGGAAAATAAGTATATTGCTATTTGTCTTTTGTACGCCTGAAGTTTCCAGCACAGTAATAAGGAATAAGTAGCCTTGATGTAATGACATTATTACCCAATATCAAGCATTTGCCTGTCTCTAGGACACACTGCAAATGAATCTGTATACAACTTTTCATCCTTATGTGAGTTTAAACTAGTTTTTTTTTAAAAAAAAACATTTTATTTCTTTTCAGGGAGCTTATTTTATCCAGTATTGATATTGATGCAACTGGAATGTGGGAGTGCGTGGTTAGCAACTCCTATGGAAGCATTTCTAAGCAGGTGGAAATTGTTGTACTAGAAACAGCTGCACCTTATTGTCCTGCTGAGAGAATAATTAACAATAAAGGAGATTTCAGGTAAGATTTTCTTTAAAAATAAAATTATTTCAGTCATCAGATTACGATATTTTTCTTTTTTCTTTTTCTTAATGGAAACTCTACAGATTGCTTTTCCTGAACAGAAAGTTCTTCAGGTCGAGCAGTTGGATTAATAACTAGTCAAGTAAAACCAGATGAGGCCATATTGGTTTCTCAGGTCATATTAGTTTTGAAAGCTTTATTTAAAGTTACAAATAGCAGGGATACAGTGGAGCAAACAAAAAATAATAATTTCTCTGCAACTGCACATCAAAATAAACTATGGTTGATTGGTTGGTTGCTAGTTTAATCTGTGTAAACCCAGTGTTGGACTTTTAAAACCATGGCTTATTGTGTGTTATTCAACTGCAGTTTATTTAAAAGTGAAATCAACTTTGGGTCATTGCAGGGTACCAGTCCATCTGATATATTATTGCAAAATAATAATATATCATCACAAAATAACTAGTTAGTAAGCGTTTTTCTATATAAATTAAGCATGAAACCAGTGTGAATTCTGAAGGAGACTTCAAGAGACCTCTTTACACTATGTCCTTCCTCCCTTGGTAAAGAAAATATTTCTCCTAAAATAACATTATCGTGAATCTGTCAAAATTTATTTTTAGACACACTTTATTAGACCCATGCCTTCAATTTTATTTCAGAACTATTTTAAGAAGGTTACAGTAGATCCTTACCTGCTTCAGTGCTTTAGGAACAGATTTGGTTTGCTAATATGTAGTTTTTTCCCCAAATATGAAGCACATACATCAGACTACTTTCTGCAACTGAAAGGATTAGTTATATGCAAGAAATGTTGGTTTGAGTATTTCAAGTAACAGCTTCACAACCATGTAGATAATCACTTATGAATCTGAAAAAAACAAAAAAAAAACAATATGACATAATTTATAGTGCTTTGCTGTATGTTAAACCCATCAATTATAATCAAGACTTTGAGTGGGCTTGAATTAGTTTTTTCTTGAAGCCAGGCCATTTTAAAGAGCTATTGAGATATACATTATGTTAAATCATGGAGCAAAATTTTGAGCGTCATGAAGCAGAGATTTTGGAATATCTACTTATCAAATTTAATAGCTGCTGATACCAATATTAGACATATAAATTTGTTATTCAGCATCACTTATAGGCTTATAGATGGAAGAAGGATATATCAGGAACAGAGTTGAAAGCACACTGACAAGGAAAACAACATGGACGTAATCACAGCCAATGAAAATTTCTAGTTTGAGGAGAAGCCAGAGGAATATTCTTAGAACTTGAGGAAGGAGCCAAACACTCCAGAATATATACAGAGCAAAATCAACTTTATTAAGAGTAGAAAATGTTGCTTTCCTAGTAGAGAAAAAAAAAACCTCATTTTAAAAAGCCTGAATAGTGGTTATAACTCAAGGGGTTGGGAATTGCTTTATTTGTGACTGGTAACAATAAAAAAGACAGGAGACTAGAGAGAAACGAATGTGGCCTGGAATCAAAACTAAAAGCTTTTTGTTACTCTGTTTGCTGAATACAAACTATCTCTTAAATTCTGAATACTCCTCAAAGCTCATCATGCCCACACCAGTCTCCAACATAGACCTACATCATTTCAATCCCGAAATTAAATTTGAAAAATGACTGATACCTTGTTAGATATTGTTTAGATTGCATGATTTTGTGATATTTAAGGACAGTATTTTAATGTACTCATATGACATTGAGAGTGTGATTGCAAACATTTAATGCGATTTAATGACAGTTTCATGAGTTTTCCATTATTTAAAATTTATTTCTATTTTTTGACATCAGATGTTCTAAGATAATAGGATGATACATGAAAAGACTATTAAACCCTAGAATGTCTGGCCCTTAAGTTGTGCAAATATAGAATTCAACTTTCAACAGTTCATTTAATGAACTATTTAATACAATGGCACTGAAAAAGTGACTTATGATCATTTTTCACACTTACGACCATTGCAGCATCCCCATGACCACCTGATCAAAATTCAGTTGCTTGGCAACTGATCGATATTTATGACAATTGCAATGCCTTCGGGTCATGTGATCAGCTTCTGTAACCTTCTGACAAGCAAAGTCAATGGGAAAATCAGATTTACTTAACAACCGTGTTAGTAACTTAACAACTGCAGTGATTCACTTAACAACTGTGACAAAGAAGGTCGTAAAATAGGACAAAATTTACTTAACAAATGTGTCAGTTAGCAGTGGAAATTTTGGACTCAATTGAGGTCATACGTCAAGGACTACCTGTATACTATACATGCGTCGGCAGCAGAGACATGCTCTGGGCCCCCTTGACCCCCTTGGCCAAGGAATTCTGGCTGGTGGGATCCAGGAGAAGAGCCTTTTCTGCTATGGCTCTTGCCCTTTGGAACATCTTACCCCTTCCCCTCCCCGAGTGAGATTTGCTCCCATCCTTCTGGCCTTTCATAACAGCCCGAAGACTGGTTTCTGCTGGTTGGCTATGGGCTCCAACTTGGGAGCATCACACTGGAGGAGTTTGATGGATTAAGAGGAGATCCCACCTACCCCTGCACATCCCACTCTCTCCCCCATATTTTAATCGTAGTTTTACTCTTTCTCTGATTGCAATGCTATTTTATTGTTTGTAGAAATATTCATGTTATGGTTTTATAGCTTTTAATGTTGTAAGATGCCCAGATTCACCCAGAGATGAGATGGCTGCCATCAAATTTAATAAAATAATAAAATAAACTTTGGGCAAGGCCCATAAAAATCTGAGAGGGCCACAACTTGCTGATCCCTGCCCTGCATTCTTCAAGATGATTTTTTTGAAAAAAATAAATGATATTGGGATACTTACTAGCACATAAGAAAGCAGTAAAGCTTCTTTCTACTAAGAGTAACATTGTTCCTGAAGGCACTTATTCTTGTTTATTTGCTTTAGAAAACATGGCATCTTTTTTTCCATTTGTTTTATAAAACTAAGGACCTATGACTAAAACTATGACTAAGGGCTAAGGAGAGTTAGACTAAAACTTTCAGGGTGGTCAAGTAGAATATAGTTGGTTGCAAAAGAAATCATATGGCCATTATGTTGTCCTTAGGTGGGACATTCAGTTCTTAGCAGTATTTTGCTTAGTGTTTTCATTTTCCACTTAAAAAATGAAACAAAGTAAAAATAGCCTTATTTCACCACAATACGTATTATGATAAATATATGTGAAAGAACCAGATGAGGTTTTGAAGAGGAAAATCTTTGCTTTTCTTTGCAAAGTTCAAGACACGATTATCCCCAGGAACAAGCTACCTTTCTACTCAGCCCAGAAAGCTGAGCAACTCAACTTGAGGTGCTCTTTAATGAGTCAGTTTTAAAATACACCAAAATAAGCTTATGCTGACTGCAACCTTCATTAGCAACCCTTCCGCTCCATTGCTGGTAAATGTCATCTTAAATAAAATAAATAAATAAAAGTGAAATAAATGTTCAGCTAAGATGAGAGGCCTTTTGCTGTTTCATTTTTCTCTAAATCAAAAAAACCGAAGGATTCACATTTGTTTCATTATTGATCATCATTCAAACATTCTGCACAAATTTATTTTAGAAATACACATCAAAAGCATGCTGAGTCCGTATATTCCTTTGGCATTTCAAAGTAATGAATTCAGAATTCTAGAGAATATCTTTGGAGCTGAAAGTTAACATTAACACCTGAAGCGTTTTTGAAAAATTTCTCTTTTTGGATGAGCTTCCCTGCCAATAACGTATCGTGAAAATGTCTTTGAGGTTTTGATATTATGGCAAATATGTTGGAAGCAATCTATTACAAGCACAAAAGAAAACGGAGGGAAAAAATCACCTTGTTTTAAAAAGAAAGACACATTAAATATAAAATGGAAAGATTGACTCTTTTGAGCTGACAGGTCCAGGTGGTATGTGTAATTGAAATCTCGCTGCAAGGATTGTAATGCAAGCTTCAGTGAACAAAAGCTATTATTATAAGATGATGGTTATGTTTGTTTTCTTTCTCCTTTCATTGTAAGATACTTTTAAGTGAGCAAAAAAAGGCTGTGTCCTGGTGTTTCCAAATCTTAAGCATCGGTACCCTAATACTGTGCATCTTGTGTAGCATTCTTGGGTTACAAGTGCAAGCTCGTTAAAGAGAGATCCTATCTGAAACTAAGGACAAATTTCCTGACAGTAAGAACAATTAACCAATGGAAGAGCTTCCCTCCTGGAGTTGTGGGTGCTCCATTGCTGGAGGCTTTCAAGGAAAGATTGGAGATCCATTTGTCTGGGCGGTATAAGGACTGTTGCCTTAGGCAAGGGGTTGGACTAGAACAGGCTGTCAAACTGGCGGCCCATGGGCTGGATGTATCACACACAGGCCACACCTACCCCAGCTCTCCAAAGACAAAAAATGTTGCGATACGTCATGTGACGTGATCGAGTTTGATGCCTGTGGACTAAAAGATCTCCGAAGTCCCTTCCGGCTTTATGATTCTAAGATAATTTCTAAGCTTTCCCCAATTTGGTTGTCTTCAGCTGAGTGGAAATGCTTATACTCAATATGCTGGCAGTCCAGGCTACAATTATAGGGAGCTATAGTCTCAGCATAACTAAAACTAGAACCAGAATCTTAACACAATCCCTTAAATGCAGCTTGATTGGCTATTCCCTAGTTTGGAGTCACACAAGAAAAGTTCTTGTGCTGTATGGCTCAAAAATAGATTATGAAAGCAGGGGACCTCTTTCCATCTTAATGCCTAGATAGGATCAGAATGAAAAAGGGAGTCTAGGAAAAGCCTTAAGTACTGCAATGCCAAAAGTTATTCCAAGAAAATAAATGTTGTATGGTTCAGGTATCAGCATAGATAAATGATTTTTCAACAATTTGCAAGGATAGCCCAGTGGTGCACTAACTCTTGTGGATTTCAGCTCCCAGAATTCTCTATGACCATTGTTGTGAATTCTAGGAATTGAAGTTTGCATAATTGACCATTGATTTAAAGCACGGATGTCAAACTTGATCACGTCACATGACATCACATGACATATCGCGGCAGTTTTGCCGTTGCAGAGCCAGGGTGGGCGTGGCCTGCATGTGATGCATCCGGCCCACGGGCCGCCAGTTTGACACCCCTGATTCAAGGGATCTCAGTTAATAGACCCTGGGTCTGAAGCAAATGGGTGAAGAGCAACATCTCATCACTGGAGTTTTAGTTCAATTAAAGTAACATAAATCTAGGAGTAAATCAGAAATGTTCTATGATTCATAATGCATTTTAATTATTTACAACATTTTTACCATGATTAATTTTGCACACACTGACTTTTTCTCTTCAGAATGTGTTATTTTAGTGGTTATCAACTATGGAAAATAATACCATTGGTTTCTTTTGTGTAGTATTGCTTAGAAATGAAAATTCAATTTTTCCAATATATTATATAAAATTATTTATCAAATATTTTCCTATACATACTGATAGAAAAATCCTGCAAATTCCTAAAGACTGCCAGTGCCACTTATGAATCTGACTTGCTCCTCACTGAGATTTTAAATTATATCTTGACACTAGTACAGACCGGAGTGGAGAAGATTTCTTGGTTGACGGAATGCTACTGCATATTTATATGTCATACATTAGGAAGAAGGCTATATTCTGTCCTTCTTCTTGACATAATAGTTTTCTATACTGTATATGGAATTTTACAGAGAGAGTAATGAGACAAAAATTCATCATGGTGGCATTGTAAAATAATATCCACAATACATGTATGAATGAAGGGAAATTTGAGAACTTGATCTTACATTCATCGAAGAAAAGTCTTCATATTTTAAAAGAAAGCAACTAAAAAAATTGATATTCCTCTACACATTGAATATAATAGTATTGTTTTCATACTGCAATTATCTATATTATTGAAGTATCCGTGTTTACCAAAGTATTTTTTGAAAGATACTAACATTTAAAAAATAAAAAAAATTAACTTGAAAAGGTATATCTAATAAACACAATGTAAAAGGGATGAGGATGAAAATATTCTGTTTTTCTGTAATGTTTGAACCTTGCTTTCCAAATCTGACTTTGTCCAGTACTGTTGGGACTATTAATCTGACTTTGTTCAGTATTGTTGGAACTAATAATGGGAATTTGGGATTTTTCAGTCTAAAAACATGAAGGATAACATGGGCAAGGCTGGCCTATTAATGTTGAATCACTGTCTTGGGAGAAAAGAGCCAAGTTATAACCTCTCCCAGCAAAGACAAAGGAAATGATCTTTGCCAGTTTTAAGGCAAAAAAATCTAGCCCTTTAAATCTATAAATATACCAATTAAAATTATTTCAAATTGAATAACTTATTCAATTATATTCATTATTGAATATAAAACAGGCAAGGAAATTGCTCTATGGGTTCCAGTTCAAGACAGATGATGTATTGCATTATTTATTGTAAGCATTGGCAACCTGCAGCCTTAGGGCCTAATTTTAAAAAAATCCATTGCTAAGTACAGAAGCCTTTTGCAAGCAAACAATTCAATCCTCTAGCAAAAACAACCTTCCTCTTTCCCAGAAGCTTTTCATGTGAAGAGAAAGGAAGAGGGAAATGAGAACATCAAAAACTTGCTCACACAGAGGGTTGCAACTGACGAAGGAAGAAGAAATGCTAGAAAGAAAATGGATACCTTTCCCTCTCCCTATATTTTTTACTCTGACCTTAACCACCATTTGTTTCAGCTGTTCCCATCATTGGAAGTTTCCCTAAACAAATCTGTTTCCCTAAACAGAATACCGCTGTAGTAGTACTGTAGCTTTTGATGAGGAAAAACTTGGCTGCTCCTAGTTTACCTCAACAATCTCATAAATTCAGGGAAATATACATTATTCCAAAGGAAGTGTACTTCAGGTTGGAACTTGATCTAATGTTAATGTATTAGTGTAGCATTGCAGTAGCTTATTTGTATTTTTTTCACAGGTGGCCTAAAACTGTGGCAGGTGTAACCGCTTACCATTCATGTTTTCAGCATTCCTTAAGATCAGCCTCCTTTCTGAATGGGGAAGAAGAGTTAAAAGCATGGCGTAATTGTAACCGCACAGGTTGGTGGGATGAAGAAAACTATTCCAAATGTCCTTATTCACAGGAAGTAACTCAAATCCTTCATGCCTTCAGTCAGGTAAACCATACTGTCATGCATAGAATTTAGTGTATGTGTAAACATTACACAGTTCTTACCAAGTTTCTGCAGAGAAAGTCTTTGTTATCTAGGCTATCTAACAAGGCTATATATCAAGAATAGATTCTAAGATATCCAAACATATACTATAACTCTAGTTGTATTCAACTATTCTATTTTGGAATAAGAAAGCATAAATAGATTGTGACATTGATTCAAACATAGTTCTCGTGGTATTATTCCTTATCTTTAATATTCATTTAAATTAAATTATTGATGCTGGATTAGTAGTCATGGTGCTGATAAATGGTTCTGTCAGGGGAAAGTTGCTTAACAAAAAATTATTTAAGTTACGACATTTTAAGTATTTTAAAACACAGTGTTCTTATTAGACAATTTAAATATTTTACAATATAATGTTGTTTACAAGTTTGAATTATACATCAATAATGTTCTTCATCTCTAGAAAATAAAAAACGTTAATGTTTTAAATATAGAAAATGGAATTAAACTTTTAACCAAATTTTATCTTTTGGGATTTTTTTTTTCCAGAGGCATCTAAATGCTACCAATGCACTTGAATTTTCCCATCAGCTAGCAGCTTTCACAAGAGATGCTGCCAAATTTGCAGATAAAGAGGATGTTACCTATTTAGCTTACATGTTGGAAAAACTAATTCTATATTTGGAAGAAATCAAAGACGTAAGATTCTGTTTGGCTAACATGATGATGATTTAACGATGGATTTAATTTAATGTCCAGTAATTATTTATTTTTGGGGGGGTGGGGGGATCTTTTTAAAGTAGTAATTCCAACTTTTTATTCAAGAGCTTTTCATAAAGTATTTTTAAATTTGAATTATATAATATACAGGTAGTCTTTGGGTTATGGCAATGTGGGTGCTCAGTGCCCAGTTCATGATTAAAACATTGCAGAGAGCTGCAGTTTTATGGTTCTAATTTCCAACATTCCCTACCAGCTTCTCACAAGCGAAGTAAGTGGAGAATCCTGCCAGCAGGAAATCAGATGTTGTGCTCATGTGAGCTCCTCCCTTAACAACCTATGCAGACTTCTGCCAGATTTCTAAGTAACATCCGGTAATGTTGCACTTTACAGCTGGGAACAGAGTTTCCAGTTCTAATTGCCTTTGGAGCCTAAGGATTATCTGTACTTAAAGAAATTATTGCTCATTATAGAGTTTTCTATGACCATGTGAGTTTAGGATTAAATTTGTTTGCTGAGTATGTTCATTTTAAGGTTAGTCTGACATATATTCATTGTATTTCTAAAAAGCCTGAATGTGTACCTATTCTTTCCTTCTGTCTTTTCCAACATTAGAGCTTTCGCCGGAGAAAATTAAATGCTTAGTAAACCAAAATATTTTATGAATTATTCTCATTCAAAGAGGGCACTAATCTGGAGACCGCAAATAACTTCTTTGCCTTATTGGCAATGAGGTACCTAATAATATTTTCATCTAATTCTGATGAAATAGTTGAGTAAAACTTTCATTGAAGTATTTTGGGCTGATGATTGTTACACGTTGAAATACTTTTTAAAATTTGTTTTGGCTTTATTACTTTCCTTCTACCTTTTTTTAATTTTTATTTATTTATTTATATTTAAATTTATATACCACCCTTCTCCCGAAGGACTCAGGGCGGTGAACAGCCAAAGGTAAAAAACATAGAATACAGAAATTTAAAAACAGTTTAAAATATATTAAACAATTTGGCCCAACAGTTAAAATACCCCATTTAAAATTAAAATTAAAATTAAACAATTGGAGAAGTTAGGCCAGCCTGGCTTGTTGAAATAAAAAAGTCTTGAGGGCCCGGCGGAAGGTACGTAAATCCGGAATCGTCCGTATCTCTGGGGGGAGCTTGTTCCAGAGGACAGGTGCTCCTACAGAGAAAGCTTTCCCCTGGGGGCCGCCAGTCAACATTATTTGACCAACGGCACCCCCAGGAGCCCCTCTCTGTGGGAGCGTACTGGCCGGTGGGAGGCTCTCGGTGGCAGAAGGCGGTCTCGTAGATATCCAGGTCCTAAGCCATGGAGCATCTAAAGGTGATCACCAACACCTTGAATCCTGGAGGACCACCGGGAGCCAGTGTAGCTCGTGCAGGAGAGGTGTTACATGGGAGCGCCATGATGCTCCCATAATCACCCGCACGGCCGCATTCTGGACCAATTGGAGCCTCCGGGTGCTCTTCAAGGGGAGCCCCATGTAGAGAGCATTACAGTAGTCCAGGCGGGAAGTGATGAGGGCATGAGTGACTGTGCGCAAGGAGTCCCGATCCAGAAAGGGACGCAACTGGCGAATCAGGCGAACCTGATAGAAAGCCTCCCAGCCATTGCGGTCACATGTTCTTCTAAGGGCAGCCGTGCATCCAGGAGGACACCCAAGTTGCGAGCCCTCTCCGTGGGGGCCAACGCCTCACCCCCAATAGTCAGAGATGGCACCAACTGACTATATTGGGACGCCGGGAGCCACAGCCACTTGGTCTTGGATGGGTTGAGCTTGAGCCTGTTTCTCCCCATCCAGATCCGCATAGCCTCCAGACACCGGGACATCACATCAAGGGCATCATTGGGGTGGTCCGGGGTGGAGATGTACAGCTGAGTGTCATCAGTGTACTGATGAAACTTCACCCCAAAACCATGGATGATCTCACCCAGTGGCTTCACATAAATGTTGAACAAAAGGGGCGAGAGGACCGATCCCTGCAGCACCCCGCATACAAGGCGCCTCGAGGTCAACCTCTGCCCCCCCCGTCAACACAAACTGCGACTGGTCAAAGAGGAAGGAAGAGAAGCACCGCAACACGGTGCCCCCCACTCCTAACCCTTCCAACTGGCTCAGCATGATACCATGGTCAATGGTATCAAAAGCTGCTGAGAGATCTAATAGGACCAGGCAGAGGAACAACCCCTGTCCCAAGCCCTCCAGAGATCATCAACCAATGTGACCAATGCCGTTTCTGTGCTGTACCTAGGTCTGAAGCCCAACAAATTTTAGTTTGCAAAATTGATCTTGGAAGGAATAACTCAGCAAATATACCACTGAATGTGAAACCCTGTGATTCAGAATTAAAACTTAAAACTTTTTGATATCAATATGTTTATATTGATTATACTAACATTTTTGCTTCAAACAGGTGAAGTTTTTCTGAGCGGTCGTTCAATTTAACATTTTCCTAGACTCATGCCGTTCATTGCTCTTTTCTGAAGAGCTGAATAAAGCTTCCTGTGGTTCTAACCTTGTCAAACTCATGTGAAACTAGAATTCACGCCAGTAAAATGTCTTATGCTTTTTAATTCTCTTGGTGGCTTGATGTTAAATGGCTTGGATTTTAAACATTTTCACAATGGTGTTTTAGATGTCAGCTAAACATAAGTAGCTAAATTAATGATCTATCTAAAATGTTTTACTGAGGGGAAAGAGACTGTGATCAGTGGTGTTTTTTTCCCCCTTAAGATATATTTCCTGACTAACAATGTGACCAGTTTCAAAAGCCCAGTGCTCCCCAAACCATCTTTAAGCCACCCTAGCAGTAGTAACCCCACATTCATATTTATATATTCTGTATATTTTATGTGGCTCTTTTTGGTTGATACAGGTAGTCCTTGACTTACAACATTTCATTTAGTGAATGTTCAAAGTTACAATGGGACTGAAAAAAGTGACTTATGACAATTTCTCACACTTATGACTATTGCAGCATCCCCATGGTCACGTGATTTACATTTAATTGCTTGACAACTGGTTCATATTTATGATGATTGCAGTGTCCTGGGGTCATGTGATTCTCTTTTGTGACCTTCTGACAAGCAAAGTCATTGAGGAAGCCAGATTCACTTAACAACCATGTTACTAACTTAACAACCGCAGTGATTCACTTAACAAATGTGGCAAGAATGGTCGTAAAATGGGGCAAAACTCACTTAACAAATTTCTCACTTAACAACATAAAAGTTGGGCTCCATTTTGGTCATAAATTGAGGATTACCTGTGGTTTGCTTTTTGTTGTGTCACATTGTTATGTTGGGTGGCCTGATAAACCCAGTAGTGGGGGAAATGAAATGAAGTGAAATGAAAAGTATGGTTTGAACTGATTTCTGAATTGGGCCACCGAGATGCTTTTAAAAATTTCTGTAAATCAGGTATTATCTATAGTCAAACCAATGCTGTTCTCAATGGCATAGCCCAGGGGTCAGCAACCTGCGGCTCTGGAGCCACATGTGGCTCTTTCACCCCTCTGCTGCGGCTCTCCTGTCACTCAAAATATGCATCACAACTGCCAATGTGCGACAGCCATCAGCACGTGATTTATTGAGCTTTTCAAGTCCGGTAGGCCAGCCATGGATAAATCCAAGAAAAGAAAAGTTTCAGAAGAAAACAAAATGTTTAATTCAACTACATATGCTAGTTTTGTGGCTGTTTAAGAAATAGGCACAGGAACGGTTTTATGGCTCCCTGTGTTTTCTTTTCTGTGGGAAATGGGTCCAAATGGCTCTTTGAATGTTTAAGGTTACAGACCCCTGGCATAGCTTAATCAGTTATTACTATTACCTCTCAGTTGTAAGTGTGTATTGATTTCTATGATAGCTTTATATGAAGATGAAGATACACAAGCCTTCTTATGAGAGTAGTGTTCCAACAAAACCTAATCTGTTTAAGTTGAACACTTAACAATTAGCATTGCTATTTTATATATCATTTATATATAATTTAGCCTTTTCATTACTATGAGCCACAATTAATGCTTTAAAAAAACTATTTATGATCAAATTCTTATAATTGAATTTCTAGTGTTTGCTTCAGGGATTTTTTTTTTTTTTCATCTATATTGCTAAAACTCTTGCTGAAAAGTCTCTAAGAAACATCTATTCTCAATAGAACAGTTGCTTGGACTTGTGTAACTCTGAAATAGTTTTGACTTGATAATCATTGACTTGCAAAGAGGCATATCCATCAATTTAATCTTTTGACTATCAAATTGAAATGTAAGATGATGTTCCTAGAACAGGTAGTTCCTGAATGCTTCACAGAATACCTAAATACAGATGCTTTCAATTTTGCCTTATGTTGTATAAAGGTTAGATACTTTATACTCTTTTTTTTTTCCTTTTTCCTTTTGTCTTTTTCTCTTAGCAGCTTGCAGATGCTGTCATAGAGATTGCCAGCAATATAATGCTAGTAGATGACCATGTATTATGGATGGCACAGAAGGACAAAAAAGCATGTGCAAGAATTGTGCAGTGTGTGGCAAGCATTTCAAATCAAATTCTGAGGAGCAATGCACAAGTTGTATCAAAGGTATTTTTATATGTGGCTTCTTGATTTGTTAAAATATTGATCCAAAGGAAGAAGCAGACACGCCTTGAAAAATGCGTCTCTGGTTACATTACATACTCATCCAATTTTATAATTTCTCACATATTTTGTTCATTGCCAGAACTTACAAAGGATTTAAGCAAAGCAAAACAGTTAGTAAAGTACCGCTTATTTTCATTTTAAATACAGAATTATAACTAGAAAGCACAATAGTTGGATCCCAATTAATGACTAGTGGAAGAAATAGCCAAGGAAAAAGCCAGAAAGAGCAGAAGGTGTAATTGGCTGGGCAGGAAGGTTTCTACCTGAGAAAACAGAGTAAGATACAGTATGTGAATAGATATTTTGCCATTCTAATTGATCTAAATGAAGTCATTAAAAAACTATAACCACCTGGCAAGTCTGCATTGAACAAACAGGTAGAAAGTCAAGCCAGGCAAGCTTTTCCCCACAGTAGTTGCAATCTGAATAGTATAGCTGAAATGTGTATTCACAGTGGGAAATGTCATGCGCAGAGGGCAGAATGTCCTTGGTATAAGAAAGCAAGTCACTTTGCAACTGTCTATAGTCCTTGATAATGAAAAATACAATGATGACAATCTGTCCGACACCACATGATTCTGCTATATAATAGGAAGTGCCTTACAAATCAGTGCCCATTCAGTAAGGCTTAAAACTGATACAGGAACTGAATAGCCATGATTTCAGAATCTGTGTACGGCATCTCTTACAAGCTATTGACAGTGAAACATGTACTTTACAGTTAAAAAATGCCATATAACTGATACCATGTGAAGTACTTTACATAGTTTTACAAGAAAATAGGAATCTTCATGAAAAAATTAAGGATTTAAGGAAAAACATGTTCTGAAGTAATCCATTCAGCCAGAATGTTATTAGTCCTGCTACATAGTCTCAGTTCTAGGACAGTGATGCTTAACCTTTTTAATGCCGAGTGCCCAAAGTGCGCATGTGTGCGCGCGAATGCACACGTGTGTGCCTGGACCCCCCAAATGCAATGCAAGTGCCACTGCACATCTGGTCCAACCCCCTATGCATGCGCCCTGGCCTTCCCCACACCCCATTTTGACTTCCAGGTAGGTGCAGGAGGCTTTCCAGGCCCAAAACAGGGCCCGGAAGGAGCTTGCGTGGCACCCCCATGCCCTGTTTTGGCTTTCAGGTTGGTGTAGGAGGCCTTCCAGGCCCAAAACGGGGCACAGGGGACATGCACATGAACCCCCAAAATGCAATGCGAGTGCTCCCGCTCATGCACCCCACCCTCGCACATGTGCGGCAGAGACCCGAAGACCAGCTAGCTGGTGGGAGGCACGCGCGCATGCACGGTGGAGCTGGGGTGGGGCGACGGCTGGTGTGCCAGGCAACATAGCTCTGTGTGCCACTTTGGGCACGCATGCCATAGGTTCGCCATCATGGTTCTAGGACGTTCACAGATGCAGAACCACAAGATATATATTGATTTTGTGACTTGTATCACTGCAAATTCCTGGTATCTTTTTGGATGGGAACCTATCCAGCTACATGCAGTTCCCAAGCCACTAGTTTGCCTTCTAAATTGTGAAAACTTCAGACATCATTCATATGATGAGTATTCTGCAGGAAAATACTTCTTGTAGGAAGTTTTGTGATCTTATATGTACAAATACCTTCTGATGTAGATACTTGCAGAAGAAGTACTTGAGACTTCTTCTGTACTTCTTCTGAGTACTTGAGACTTACAAAACTCTATTGTAAAACTTATTTCTGATTTCAGCATTACTGCTTATGGCCAAGAGCTGAAGGCAATACTGAACTCAATGGCTATACAATCAAATCATCTTTTTGTAGATAAAATAAGAAATGTAGTATCATAGGAACTAATTTTGTCAAGAGATTTATTATTTCAGCTGCAATAATAAATCCCAGAAAACTGTGTAAATGGCATTTGGTTGATACTAAATGCTATAAGATTATCTGTTTGGTGACTCCGGTTGAGTCAAAGGGTTAAATATTTATAGCATTCTGTGAGTTTTGCCTAAAGTATAAACCATCTTAACAAATTCACTCCTGGTTACAGCAGTATCAGAGTACTAAACCAGTATTTGATTTGATATTTGTGTATTTGCTGTAAAGTGCTGAAGTTTTCAAGATGAAAACCAATTACTGTATAAGATATCTTTGGCTTTCAATACTTCTATACAACCTTTTCGTAGAATATAACATAACCAATGCCTGCTGTATTGGACCCTTGGCCAATTTAATATAGCAGTCTGTTCTCACTGTGATCAGTTAATTGCACAAGGAAGTTCTTGACTGTAACAAGGCAACATAATGACTTTTAAAACCTTCCATGGCATCAGTCCAGGTTACGATGAACTGTGTTGTCCCACTAAATTAAGTCCACCTTTACTCATGCTGGTAGAGGAAGCCTGCTGTGGGTCCTGACAAGGAACTCTGAAGACCAGGATCTGCTGGTTGGCCTTGGGACCCAATAGAGGAGTACCAAATTGGAGATGGCTACTAGACTAACCTCCCTGCATTTCCTGCTTCCCTTCCACCCATCTTTTAATTCATATTATTGTACTTCCATCATTTATTTTTATTGTTCCAGTGTTTTGCTATTGTTATATTAATTTTTTTAATCCTTTTTTTCATTTTATTGTTGCAAGAGTAGCCTTATGGCTAGATGGGTGGCAGATAAATTATATAAAAATATTTAACTGTATTAAGACTACAAAATCTCTACTCCCATTCTGTTACTGAATGTGAACTTCTGAAGAAGTGATATTTATTGCCATGTGTGTTATGAAGTCTGACAAACAGGATCTGCCTATCTCTGACTTTGATATTAAACAGTGGGCCATGATTCTCTTGCAACCCCTAACTCAATTGCAACCCAAATTCTGGCAATATTGCAACTGCTGCAGCAGCTGTTGACTGCCATTAAATACCAAGCACTCCTTTCTTTTTGTGGCCAAGGTTTTGGAATTAGTTTAAAGTTGCCAGCTTCTTCATATAGTGTGAATTATACATTCCCTAAAATATGAGGATTTCTCCTTGGATTGAGCTTATGTATAAATAATAAAAGCACTATGAAAGAATTCTAATAACTGCTATATATGAAATCAACATTGCATTAAATGGAAGCTAATGAAATCGACATTTAAATTCTTAGCTCTTTTCTTTTCTAAAACAATATTACAGGCTACAAGTCACGCTTTTTTAGGTAGGAGGAATTTTTTCCACCCTCCCTTGTTCTAGTAATAGTAATTTAGCAATAGACATATCTGTTATCAGACTGACTGTTTGTGAATATGTGAGAACCTGTTCCTATAACATTCTCTTAAAGATCTCTTCCCTAATTTCTGGTGATCCTTCCATGACAAATTATTCACATAGTACTCTGTTTTACAGTGGGGTAATTTCTGTTCATTTTCACACACTGGTGGCAAAGTGGAACTGAAGTGTAAATATAACAAAAGATTTGATGATTACACAAAATTGTTATCATATTTCATAAGTAAAACATGGAAATTTTATATTTGTTGAATATAACAATGTGGTAAATTCAATCTTCTTTGAGATTTAAAAGGGTCTATTTGAATGCTTTTCAAAGTGGTATATATTTTAGAGCTATATTAAATATGGACATAAAAAGACCAACTTTATACATTTAAAATATAAGCTTTTTCACATCTGTTTTGACAGGTTTCTTTTAACATTGCTCTGGAAGCATTTTGGATCAAGCCATCCGTTTTCATGGGCATGACTTGTATTGCTTTCCAAAAACTACCTGCTAATCCAGACAGGTCACTGAGTTCTGACACAAAGAGCAGAGAGACAGTCCAACCCTTGAATTTTAAGTGCAACCCTGGAAATCAAAGTACCTCTTTGGTGAATTTCTCTTCCATGGTGAGTGGTATAACAATGAATGCATACCGAATTTATATTTTTGAAAAATTCTCAATGTTGGTACTAAAATCAATATTCATCATAAAGATTAAAAAATAAAGATAGATTAAACTTCCTTCTGATTTTGCATCTTCATTAGCTGAAATTTTAACTTCTTGTAAAGTCTGTACATACTTACTCAAAGGCACAAAGCTAGAGGTTTTAAATATAATTCAATCTTATAGCATTGATTTTTATTCTCTGATTTCATCACAATTCAATATGCTTGAGTAATAGTACAGATTATGAATTTACTTGACTTCTGTCCCAGTTTACCTGGGCCCTTGAATGAAAACCACATTTAAGTCAAAGATAAGACAGTTTGAAACCCATTTATATGCATTTGATTGAATTCCACTTCAGTTTTCTCATTGATCTTTTATGCTTAAGAAGTTGCTAAGAAATTTATTACAATTTGTAGCAATGGTGCTCTGGACATTGGAAAAAAATAATTTTTTTACGGTAAGATCATAGTGGTATATAAAAACTATAAAAATGTCTGCTATTAAAAATAACATTTCTAATATAAAACATTTCCTGCTATTTCTTTAATTAGGATTACTAATGGTTTTATGCCTTTTTCATTTATTACATGCTCTTGTGTTACTGATGTAGATTATGTTGTGTGAGACACTTAAGACAGTTTTGCAATCGAAAGTATAAATATTTTATTTTCAAATTATAAATATTTTATTTTTTAATAAAAGGGCTAGGGTTCAAACTCAGAAACAGCCCACATCCTCAGCATGATACATAAATAAGAATTTTTATTGCATATTAGGGTAAAAGTACTTAAGCAGTTGATTTCTCTATATCCGTATGAGAATTCAGTTCCTTCTCCTCCCACAGCAATTTATATCCAACATTGATTTTTCTTCTTTTCCCCTATAATGGATACCACATTTTGCTTTTCTCTAGCTTGGTATGAGGTGGCAGTTAGTAGTTAACATTATCATCATTTCTGGTCAGGGAAACTCTAGTTTTCACTTTAACCCTCACAAAAAGGGGAGGGGGCTACAATTAAATTTTTGATTAGTGTGAGCAAAACTAAGTATCAGGATTTGATAAAAGAAAAAAAAATGCTATGACTATATTTGCAGTTATATTCTATTCACATTTGTGTGATGGGTGGTTTTATAAATGTGATAAATAAATGAATATATATTTTTTTGTTTGGAGGCCCTTGAAAGAAATGGCCTTTCTGAAATTGCTCTTCATGGAAATGAAGTGGCTCTGTCCTTCCAAAAGTTTGGCATGTCATCTTCAAGGGCCTTCTAAACAATATACACAGCACTAGTCATCTTTTCCAACAACTTGTGCTAAGATTTGAAGAGTGACAAAAGAAGAGGACTGCCTTAGAGAAGAATTTCAGAGGGGTGAAGCATCATGAGAAAAGCATCTTTCTGAATAGTTACCCATAATAGTTGTTATATTTGGAGAAAGATAAAGGTAAAAAAATAATGTTAATGAAACTATTCCTAGTTCATCAACATAATTTGGCAAATGGCAATGCTATTTAGAAAATGTCATTGTTTTACTGGGGAACATATAGCAGTTTGAAGGATTCTACAATTAGAATCTTTATTCTGTTAATTAGAGCATAGGTTCCTATAAATACTTGTTCTTCATTTATCTCAATTTCCCATGAAATTTTCTTTTACTTTGGACATCTTGGATGTATTCCAAGGAACTCATGGAATTATAGTGAAGCCCAACTGGGTATGGCTTAGATAAATCCTTTCTTCATAACTATGGTAAGCAAATCAGTCTTGAATGAACATTTTAGGGTGGGGTGTTTTGGTAAGAGCAACACTACAATATATGAATTCTGTGTACTTCCAAATTAAATCTCAAATATTGTAATGGAGATAAGGGATGTTTGAACCCAGAACTAACCCACTATAAGTGGGACGCGATGGCTCAGTGGCTAAGATGCTGAGCTTGTCGATTGAAAGTTCAGCAGTTCAGCGGTTCGAATCCCTAGAGTAGTGTAACGGAGTGAGCTTCCGTTACTTGTCCTAGCTTCTGCCAACCTAGCAGTTCTAAAACACGTAAAAAATGCAAGTAGAAAAATAGGGACCTCTTTGGTGGGAAGGTAACAGCGCTCCGTGCGCCTTTGGTGTTTAGTCATGCGGGCCACATGACCACGGAGACGTCTTTGGACAGCGCTGGCTCTTCGGCTTTGAAACAGAGATGAGCATCGCCCCTAGAGCCAGAAACGACTAGCACGCATGTGCGGGGGGAACCTTTACATTTAGCTTGTAAGATGGCCAGTAGGATCCCATGCTTAAGCCTATAGTTGAAGTATAGATAAGAGAAAACCTTCATTCAGTTTAACAGTAGATTGGCTTCCTTACTGTACCTTTATTTAGAACGCAGTCAAATTTTAGATAGTCAGCCAAAAACTGTGCTTTCCCATATCTAAGCATTTTTCTGTGTTGAGATAGAATTGTTTTGTGGTAGGGATGGACACGTTTTTCAGACAGAGGAACATATGTTATTCAAAAGTATATTCTTGCATAACATATGCCATTTCATAAAATATGTCATTTTTTGTTATGACAAAGTGTTGTGTCTTTACAAATTAAAGGAAAACAATTATAGTCTGTCTCCTTTGCTCTTTCGCCATACTTCCCAGGATCAAGCTTATGCATCTAGGATTTATCTAGAACTATAACAAAACATTTGGTTTTGAAAGACTATTAAAAAATACTGCAGTAATCACTGTAAAAGGGCTTAAGTGGTTTAATCTTTTCTTATTCATTATTGTCATGTTTCTTTGAATTATTCAAGTCAGATTCCTGGCCAGATTTAAACTGTTATGCCTTATTTGAGAGAACAAAATACTTTTAAAACTGTAGTTACAATTGTCAAACAATATTTAAAAATTATAATGAAATGTACCGCTTTATGAAAAACATACCATTAAACTGGGATTCAGGTTGTTCTTACTGCTATGGAAGGACATTTTAAAGCAAAATAGTTATATTTGGAATGTAAATGGATTATGACATTATGTAAACTCACTCCACTGGAAAATGAGACACTTTCCTAAAACATTGTCCCCAAACCACTAAGTAAGAAAAAATAGTTTTTAACCATTTACTGTGTCACTAGAATTTCATTATTTTCTTATCAAAAGGCAACACTTAAAAGAGTTCCAAAACATCATGAATAAAGCATAGGTTTACTCAAGCTATCCTTCTTAGTTTATCCTTCCACAGCCTAACATCTTCTAGTTAATATGTGACTACAATTCCCAGAGTTCTAATTAATTTTGAGTTAACACACATACAATTATCTATTTATTTCAGTGGAAGCTGTTTTCCAATGCTAAGTGCATTGTACAGAATCAGAGAAGGATGTTGAAATACCCTTTTCTCTTGTTGCTGAATCCAGTGGAGGGAATGGAGATGTACCTATAACAGTGGTGGGTTCCTCCTGGTTCGGCCTGGTTCTCCCGAGCCGGTAGCGGTGATGATATGACGTCACTGAACTGGTTCTGCCCCCCCCGCCCTCCCTGCGTCCCCCCACCCCCGCATTATTCTTACCTTTTATTTGGCCCCACCCCCAATCTATAGCTGCCTCCAGCTGATGGCTAAAGAGAAAAAAACTGTTTAAACTCTTGCCGCGGGGCTTCAAAGAGCCGCCCTACAGCTGATCAGTGTTAAAAGAAAACAAATGAGTAGACCAATGCTTGCAAAAATAAATGAGTAGATCAGTGCCTGCAAAAATAAATGGGTAGACCAGTGCCTGCAAAAATACATGAGTAGATCAGTGCCTGCAAAAATACATGAGTAGATCAGTGCCTGCAAAAATAAATGGGTAGATCAGTACAGCTCTGCAAGCAGTTAAAAGCCTGGTAGACCAGTACCTCTGCTAAATCCTAAATAATTGTCACATGACCATCAAGCCACGCCCACAAAATAAGCCACGCCCACAGAACCGGTAGTAAAAAAATTTAGAACCCACCCCTGACCTATAAGCATATACATACCTGCATGCGTAGCTACATAACAGCTCAACATTCTTATTCTAGCCACAGAGTTAACATGAAACTGTCTTATCTCCACCACTTGATTTCTTTTGCTGTATTTGTTAAGGTTTTCAAGAATAGATTGGGCAACTATTTGTCCAGGATGGAATAAGGACTATTACCTTGAGCAGGAGGTTGGACTAGAAGATCATTTTTGTGCTAAAAAGGAGTTTTGTGTACCTGCCATATGTCAGTGTATATATTGGCTAAAGTGTTGGACTAGGAGCAGGGGGATCCAGTCTCAGCCCCAGAAGCTGATTGGACAACTTTGGGTTAGTCAGTCTCCCTAAGCCCGACTTACCTTGCAGGTTTGTTGTTGTGGAGAAAAATAGGAGGAGGGAGTTCTGTCTTGAACTATTGTGCAAAAGGGAAAATGAATGATGACTTCTGCAATGTATTTTTCATCACTGTGCTAATGCCTATAACTAGATATTCCCTTGATTTATTGTAAGAAAACCTGCTCACTTTATTTCTTCAATATTATAGAAATAACATATAAATATTAGTGATTAGAAATGTGATATTAAGTTCTTGATCATGATATGTTTGCCAGATAGTTCTATTGTATAATAATAATGTGTTATACATTTCATTATTGTATATGTTATCTACAATAACCCCAAAATGTTTCGGGTTCTGTTCTATTTTTCTAGGATTCCTTTACAAATTTGACATTGCAGACAGTTAAATGAGAATAATGACAATCTCCACTAACTTTGCATTTATTAATGGCTATGCAAGTTATCATACTATTGAAAAAAGAACTCAGAATAGAGCAATTTTCACAGCTTGCTATATTTAGCAAAAATCCATAACTCATAAGTAATAATTACAATTGTCTTTTTTGCCTGCTAATAGAAAAAAAAAAGTGCAGAATGAACAAGTGTCAGCAGAATGTCAACCTGTGCAAAAAAACTTACTTTTC